TCCACCGCCGCGGTCCGATGCGGCCATCCTCGGTCTCCGTCTTCTGCCTCCGTCCTCTGTCTCCGTCCTCTGTCTCCGTCCTCCGTCTCCGTCTCCATCCTCCGTCTCCGTCCTCCGTCCTCTGTCTCCGTCCTCCGTCTCCGTCCTCTGCCTCCGTCCTCTGTCTCCGTCCTCTGCCTCCGTCCTCTGCCTCCGTCCTCCGTCTCCGTCCTCCGTCTCCGTCCTCTGTCTCCGTCCTCTGCCTCCGTCCTCTGTCTCCGTCCTCTGTCTCCGTCCTCCGTCTCCGTCTCCATCCTCCGTCTCCGTCCTCCGTCCTCTGTCTCCGTCCTCCGTCTCCGTCCTGTTGTGGCGTGCAAAGCGACCAGCGGCTATTTTAAGGTGGCAGCGGGATGATGAGGTTCCTCGGCGCAGGAATGCGGCGCTGCTTGTGTCAGGATGTCGGACCTGCCAGGAAACCCACACGGCTTCCAGCCGAACCCCCACCAGACGGGCCGCTCTCAGTGGTAGCTGAACCCTGTGTGTGATTTCTAACCTCTCGGCCCTGATACCAATTTAAATAAACCCGCTCAGCTCAGGTGACGAGGAGGAGGAGGAGTGAGGAAGGGGGGCCATGCTGAGGTTGCAGTAACCACCAAGCCCCCTTCGTCCTCCCTTCTCCTCTTCCTCTCCTCTTCCTGTACTGTATCATATTCATTTGCAGATAAGTGCGCTCACAGGCTACTGTTGGGCCTGGAGATATACTCGCCGACTCGGCTTTGAGCGCAGACGACCGTCAATCTGTTCTCCCTGAAAACCTTCCTCTCAGATCAGCTCGTGTTTACATAGCATTACCATATATTAAGCTGCGCATTTTCATGCATAGCGTCCCTGTCGCAGTTCTGACAGCAGAAGAGAGGCGGAAAGCGAACCGGAGGCCCAAAGGGAAGGGAGCAGCCCCATTCCTCGCCATTGATATTCATTACAGTAGATCTGCCGAGGCTGGATCTGCCTCCCGCCCCCTTGGGGACACAAACACTTTATGTCCTTATCAGTGTTGGGAACAAGGATTTTCTCCTCAGCTAACAACAACAGTAGCTGCAGTTTCTGGTTTTCCTGCGCTTCCTTAGGCCTCGGCGGCTGCGTTGTTTAATCTCTGCGAACACAGCCACCTCTCTGCTGATAAGGTGACCGGGTTCCTCGGACGGCCCTCAGCCTGGTGTCCACACGGTTCCCCCAGCCTCAATCACTGCTCTCTCTACACTGCAGTGCACAAGTGTGAGTAAAGCCAACATTATCTGCAAGCAGAAGCTGTGCTGTAACCTGAGCGATGAAATCCTGACACCAAACAGGGTCAGCTCCCTTCAGCAGACCAGACCTGACGTCTCAAATCATTGGAACAGTTCAACCCCACAGCATGACTCTGCCATCGCCGAGTTTCACTGTGGCCTTAGCTTCCCTTCAGGCTAACTCGTCCAGGTCCAGTCTGACTAGAGCTCCATTTTAATCACATCTGTAGCAAAATGAAGACAGAACTTCTTCTGCCTTTCATTGAACAAAGAGCTTCCAAAACCACGGATGGTTGGAGTCCAGTTGACCCGGTCCGTTTGCATAGAAAGTCCGGTTCGTTTGGTGAGCTGTGAATCCGTAATCGAACTCTGGACCGCCAAACCGTTTCCTTCAGTGATTCTTGGTGCAGCGCCCCCCACAGGCCAGGAGGGGAACAGGTTGCTGTGACTCAGAACCACAGCAGCTGAGCAGATGATGGAGTTCTGGTTCCAGTAAAACCGGGTCGACCGGACCATCAGGAGGGGAAAGCATGCTTTAGGAACCTCTGAGTCCAGAAACAGAACAGCTGCATTGAGGCTGAGGTTCTGCCAGGTCTGGTTACTGATCCGGTGACTGGATGGCATTGAGGGACATCAGATAAGTGCTAATTTATAAGAAAATACCAAAACAATGAATGAAAACGTTAATATCCTAAATTAGTATTTGTCAGTCAGCTGATCTGCACCCTCAGCTCTTTGTTAGCTTCTGAAATAGCGAGCTAAAGCCGCCATCTTTAAATAAACAACAGCGACACGCAGCTACAGCTCGACAGTTTGTCAAATTTGTTAATGCTGCTCTTCTTGGCACCAGCAGCACATCCTGAATTGACTAATAGTGCGTGAAGCTCACATGGCAGGTGGCTGTTCACCTGCTCTTGACACCCACTGAGGAGTGCGCCTGCCTGTGGTTATCTGTATATGTGGTTTATCAGTTAAGCCCCAAACAGGGAAAGTTCATCCTCTGTATAGATCATATCACAGAGTGTTGACAGCAAGCGAGTCTTAGGTAAGCTGCTCTGCGAGCGCCGTGACTTGGCTTTGTGTTGTTCTAGACAGATTTCACAATTAATCACCTTCTGGCTGGAGATTCCTGACGTGCCGAGCGGCGCGCTGGTCGCTGCTCCCAGTGCAGACATGGAAATGAAGCTGACTGGAAACACTGAGAGGAACAACATTCAGTCAGTGATTTAACAGATAAACGTCTTTCCTCAATACTTCTGCTTCACTGCAAAAACACACAATCTTAACATCTTTTGAATGCTTTTGTCTAATTTTTAGTGCAAATGTTTTAGTACACTTGCAATAAAACTAACTTACAGGTAACGTTTCAGCAATTTACAGGAGCCTATTTTACACATCTACTAGCAGATTATTTCACTTATAATACGGAAAAATGTCTCGTTTTTCATAAATATTAAGGAATTATTGACTTGAAACAAGCTCCTGTGTTTTACTTAAAAGTTAAATGTAAGTTAATTTAGTTTTATTTCAATTGTACTGAAATATTTGCTCTAAAACCCAGAGAAGAAATGCTTGGTAAGAGTGTAGCTGCGTTTTGGGATGTGATGCGTTCACTGACTCAGATATTCGTCGGTTCATTATTATTATTTTCTTCTGCTGCAGAATTATGACGCATGTCTCACAGTGACGATGTGAAAGTGCGACCTGAACGTTCAGACTGCAGAAAACCGCCGGGTTTGATGCAGTTCCTGTTGTGGAACGGACTCAGATCGGGTCATTTTTGGGTGAAAACATCAGGCTGCTGTGGAAAAGTGGGATGTTGGTCATATTTGTGCAAAAACAAATGGATTTGAGTTTCTTAAAGTAGAGTTTAAGTCAGACCTGCAGACTTACAGGCCCAAAGTAAACCAGCATGTTGTTTTTTACTGCTTTTGTCTTGAGGATATAATTTTGAAACCTTTCCCATTTTTAACTTTTGTTCAACATCGTTGTAACTGCAGGTGAGTCGGGTCCAAACCTTCTGGGCTGTGTGACTGATAGGAGCAGAACGGCACTCTGTCTACTGCGCTGCTCTACAGCCCAGCTTTGTTCAGGTTACCTTTTCGTTGCGTTTGGTTTTCTCGAGCTCGACTCGACCGTCAGGCGAATCATTTTGAATCTGATATTTGCAGGAGTTAAATCCGTTTCTGGAGGGATTTTAAACATTGATTGACGTGCCGAGTCCAGTCGACCCGTAGCTTCAGGCTCCTCCTGGAAGCCAGACAGAGGACGGTTGTCCTAACAGGAGCATCTCCACCGTTGTGTTTGAAGGGAGGACACAAGCCTTATTATCTTCCTGACAGCCACAAATTACCGCCGGCTCGCCATCCCTGCATGAGTGGACGGACACAGGACGTTCCCTCTCCCTCTCTGAGCTCCAGGCGTCTCACGTCAAGGTGGGCAGCAGCTCTGGTTCAGACCCCTGCACTGCTTCACCCTTCATTCAGGAGCATCAGTGGGAGGATGGATGTGAAACCTTCAGCTTGTTGTGTTTGAGGGAAACCCAACACGCTGTGGGCGGGCCTAATTGGCCCTAATGCCGGCCTTGTTCTGCACCTCTTTCATGGCTGTAATTAGGCTAATGGAGGGCGCCAGAACCAGACTGGGAGCCACGCCGGGGGTCAGCAGCAGCGGCCCGGAGGACGCCCTGCCGCCTGGCTGGACCCGAACAAGGAGGCCTTTGGAGGCCCGGAAGAACCGCCGGTAATTTGGTTTGGTGACGGAGGGTTTCTGCAGCGGTGGAGACATCAGGGAATGAAAATCAGAATGAAAGAAACTTCTTTGTTCTCTGGAAATAAATGTTGCTTCGCTGCAAAGATCTCCATGATTTCATCCACCGAAACGTCTGGATCCCGTTCGGTTCGGTTCTGCAGATGAGGAACCTTTAGTGCAGAAGCAGGAAGCTCCTCCTGAACATCAGAATCATTTGTATCATTAACCGTTATCTCCCTGAAGTGAAGCTGCCGTCGTTAAGCGCTGCAGCGCCACCTGGACTTTATTTCAATCATTTCTGCTTAAAATCTGTTTCTAACAGAAATAAAAATGTCATGAAATCCCCTCCAGCCTCCGTCGTCTTCTTCATGTCAGCTGAGTGCGATCTCCAGTTTCCATTAGCTTATCTCTCCCACCTCGCTGGATTTGCTCTTGTCTTTTGTTATCGCCTTTACTGGCTCACCTGTCGGTCACCATGGAAACGGAGTCCTCAGTGACGACAGCAGCAGCTCTGAGACACTTCGTGCTGCATGTTTCTGTGAACATGTTTTGTCATAAGTTTGTATTTTCACCCCTCAACTCGCATGTTTTTCATATTAGCCACTCGAATTTCAGGATGACGGCCATTTTACAAGATGGCCGCCGTTTTTAGAGCCTTTTGAACCAGTGATGATGTAACTTTAAAGCTACATCATGTAGCTTCAGCATAGCGCCAGTCTGTCACACAGAGTCTGTTGTTTTAGTGGTTAGCATTAGCTTATTGTTGAAGTGTGTTTAGCAGGATAGTGTTATTTTTTATCTGTTCAGCAGTTTAATGTTACCTTTTTTATGTGTTTAGTGCATTAGCATTAGCATAGCTGGATTCTTGCTTAGTGAATTAGTTTTGGTTACCTGTCTCCACCGCTGGCAGTAATGATATTAGCGCAAACGTATATTCTCTATTACAGCCATGGTGGCCATCTTGGATGTTTTAAAAATCGGTAAATATGATTTCTATGGGTCCAATTATGTATGATTTGACACCAAACATTTTAATTTGTAATAAATATCGACAGATTCAGAAAGTGAAAAGGTTCTGGATGTTTCTTTTAACTTCTTCTGATTTTAGAAAACATCTTCCAATCAGACCAACTACTGAAGTTATGATATAATCTTTGAAATAAAAATGTTTTTATAGCTGCTGAAAGGACAAATACATTATCCAGATATTAGATGTCATAAATCCTGATAACATAAAGGAGAGCGGAGGAATCGTCTCCATGGAGAAGCCGAGCGAGCGAAGGAGGAAGAAGGAGCAACATAATGCTTCCTGTGTCTTCTGGCAGTTTAGCTTTTGTTTGAAATGAAAATTCAGAGTGTTTGAGGGATTACAGTGGATTGGCAGGCCTGTGGGAGCCAAGCAGTTATCTGTACACCAGTAATATGGAGTATGGTAATCATCGCAGTGTGTGTGCATGCAGAGGAGTGTGTGTTTGTTCTTTTGCAAACCGATGAGTGGCAATTCAACTAAACACACAACCAAGCTTCTCCTCTGTTTTGTTTTGTTTGACCACCTTTTCTCTTCTTTTCCGCTTCCGAATCTGGGAATGAAATCCTCCAGAAAAAACAAATAAATCCTGAATGTGTCCTCTGATTGGGTCGCTGCCTATGAGTTTTTATCCTTCATCCAAACTTTCACCGTGTCGCTGCTTTGTCATCCCTTCATCTTCCTCAGCGGCGCAGAAAAACCGCCGCCGCGCTCCGTTGATCTCAAGAGGTGGTGTTTAAGTTCTGATTAATGTTGGTGTTTTAACTTGTAGCGGTGTGTGTGTGTGTGTGTGTGTGTGTGTGTGTGTGTGACTCCTCTCTCACCTCGGCCTCCAGCGGTTCAGCAGGAGGTGATGTTGTGGTTGAGGCGAACCTGTAGGGCTGACCTGAGCATGAACACAAACAGCAGCTTAACCGACATTCCTAAACACCTTTCAGCCAATTTACTTTAAATCCGTGTTTCACTCAACAACAAAACTCCAACTGTAGGAGCGACCTGGTGGGATCAGACGGGACGGGACCGGATCGGACCGGACCGGACCGGATCGGACCGGCTGACCCGGCGGGTCGTCCTCTGCTGCTCATGATTTAGTTAAAATGTTGGGTTTTAAATGCTGAGATGGAAGCAAACTGCTCAGTTTTAACAAAGTTTATTGGTTTTCTTCTGATGTTTTGGTGGCCAGCTGACACAAACATCTGGTTTTAAATCTGTTTGTTGACTTGGTTTTAGATGCATCTCAATCAGGGCAGTTGAGTCTTTTACAGATCTGCAGTGAAACATTCAGGTAACAAGAACTTACTAAATGTTTGATGTTTTAACGATCCTGGAATCGGACAGGAAACTTTCTGACAGGCTGAGGAGCAGCGATGCGTCTGAAAGCATCAGAGACTTGAACCCAGCTCTCAGAGCAGAACGGCCTGTCCAGGTTTTAGTCAGGGCTGCAGGAACTCGTCCTGAACTCAAAATGATTTAAAACCAAGAATTGGAGACGAAGTGAAGCTGTGGGTCACATTCTGACCTCAACATGGTTTCTGCAGCTCAAACATTGAATTATTTCTGTTTTTGGTTAGTTAATAACTAAAAAACTGTAAATATCTCAAATCAGAAACCATCTTCCAAACAACCGTCCAGAATCCATCAGCAGTGCTGATTCAGCCGATGAAGGTTATGCTAATAAGAGCTGAACATGTTTGTGTTTCAGGCTCTAAAATCAGTTTTCAGTCTTTAAACTCGGCGTTGATCATCATGTCTTCGTTTCTCACTCATAACTCGTCTCTCATTTCTAACTTCTTCCTTCTTTGTCTCTTAACACATCTGAAGACCTCTTCCTTTTTGGTTGGAAACATTTTTAGAAATTAAACCATCTCTTCCGTTTTTTTTCATGCCATTCCTCTTTTTTCTTCACGCCGTTGATTCTTTCACACATGTGGAGCCGCAGAGCTTCAGCGCCTGCAGACGTTCACACATCGTCCCTCCAGCAGACATGAACGTCTCTGTGTTTGTGTCCAAACATGCTGCAGATTTTCTCCTGGTTTAGTCGTTTGTCAGCTGCTTCAGCTGTGGAAACAACAAACTGCAGCTTCCTCCTGCTCTGTTGGTGCATAAATACGTAGAAATGCATTAATGCGTCGCTGCACAGAAATCAAGACGAATGCTGCATGGGTCTGCATGCAAAACTTCAGCTGGGGAAGGAAGTTTGATGCTTAGGTGGTGTGGTCTAGTGGAGAGAACACGAGCAGGCAGTGTCTAATCTGGAGATGAAGGTATTTTTTCCATTTCATGACTTTTTGCAGATTTCAGATTTTAAAATCAGACGATCCAAATGTTCCTCCGTCACTTCGGACCCGTTTGTTTCTGCTGGAGTTTGATTTTCTCTGAGTTCCAACAAACCATATCAATATGTTTTCCAGAGAATAAAGCGTGAAACGTTTCTCTGCACCATAAACGTCGGCATCCTGCCTGCTGGCGCTGTTAGTCAACCAAAGCCACGGGGTCAGAGGTCAGGCAGTAAACGCTGTAAATGATTAAAGGAAACTCACCTGAGTCCTGAGCCAGCTCTCTCTCTCTCTCTCTCACACACACACACACACACACACACACATTAATTATTTGATCAGTGTGTGTGCTGGCTGGGATTAAATCCTGTGAGAGCAGAACAAAGGAGCAGCTGCGTTAAAGCTGCAGTTTAGTGTAATTTGCTAATTACTCTGGTTTCTGGAGCCTCTGCTGCTCTTTGTGAGGAAGCGTCTGATTACATGGACCAAGTGACACTGACTGCTACAGAGACCTGTGACTATAAACCCTGAGTGCAACAACGAGATTCAGATTACAGCTCAGACTCTTCGTCCTTTCAGCTGCATGAATCTGATTGTCCAGAATCATCTTCATCACTGAAATGTTTCATTACAAATCGACTCCAATGAGCAGAGACCCAAACCTCCTCTGGTCAGAGTTTCATCTCTTCTGTCCTGATGGTGAAGCAGTGATGACCACTTCCTGTCTGATCATCAGCGTTTCAGTGAACAGAGGCGGTCAAAACATCGGCGTCTGCCGACTGCAGGGCGGGACCGCCAGGAACCACCACGGACCGCCAGGAACCGCCACGGACAGCCAGGAACCGCCACGGACCGCCAGGAACC